ACTTGACTTTGTCATCTTGAAAAAATATGGTCAGCTCTTTTACTTCCTCATTTCTTCCAGTCGCTTTAGCTTCTCAAAACTCAAGAGCAAGTTTCAGAATCTTTCCTGAAATCCATTTTGGTCTTTTCTTTCTTTCCTGTCTTTTTAAATGATCTCTTGTTTTCTTCCTGCCTGATGTTCTTGATGTCATCTCACAGCTCTTATGGTCTTCAGTCATAAGTGTCAAATGCATCAAACCTGAATGACTCATCTTCTGGCACTGTATATGATACAGTATCATATACAGTGCCAGAAGATGAGTCATTCAGGTTTGATGGCACTCAAAATATGACTGGGGAAGAGCTGCCTCCTCAAAGTAGAGTTGACCATAATGAAGCAAAGATTTGGGGCCTTCATTTGCTGATGGGGCACAACTCAATGAGAAGGAACAGTTTGCAAGTATCCATTAATAATCAGAAGGTATAAAGTATGAATCTAGGAAAATTGGAATTGTCAAAAATGAAATGGAATGCATAAGCATCAATAAGCTGAAATGAACTGGTTGGTATTGGCCATTTTGAATTGAACAGTCATTTGATTTACTATTCCCAGAGTGACAAACTGAAGAGGAGTGACATTGATTTAATCATCAAAATGAACAATTGAAATCTATCTTGAAGTGCAATGATGTCTGCTATAGAACAATATCAATACACTTACAAGGAAGATCAGTTAATACTATTATTCAAATTTATACACCAACCACAAAAACCAGTACTGATGAAATTGAAGAATTCTGTTCTTCAGTCTAAAACTGATCAAATATCCAATCAAGATACATTGATAATTACTGGTGACTGGAATGTTAAGTTGTAAACTTAGAGGAAGGATCAGTAGTTGGAAAATATGGCCTCAGTGATAGAAATAAATGCTGGAGATCATACGATGGAATTTTGCAAGCACAACAATTTATTTATTGCAAATACCTTTTTCAAATAACATAAAGAAGATTATACACATGGACCTCACCAGATGGAATACACAGGAATAAAATTGGCTACATCTGTGGAAGGAGATGGTGGAGAAGTACCCTATGATTAGCCAAAACAAGGCCAGGGGCTGACTGTGGAACAATCAATTGCTCATATGCAAGTTCAGGCTGAAGCTGAAGAAAATTAAAACAAGAGCCAAAACGTGACCTTGAAGGTATCCTTCCTGAATTTAGAGACCATCGTAAGAACAGATTCGATGCATTTGACACATGTGAATCTCTCTCCTGCAGCAACCTTAGATTTTATTAATATTGCATTTGATTTTATTATAGAAGAAAATGAGTTTCCTTACCCCACGGAGATTGATACAGTATTCTGGAGCCAAATTATTACCAGAAAGAATGATAAAATCTGAAACTGAGTACTAAAATGTTATAAATCAATTAACACTCAACTTTTCAGACATCTAGTGATCTATATAAAAATATATACAGCTTCCTGTTACTTTCTGTTAGTGCTTCACAGTAATTTCTACAGAGAACTGCTTTCCAGCTCATTATTACTATGTAACTGTCACAGTGATTACATGAATAAAGTTGTGTTATACTTAATGGAGAGCTTGCACCCAACCAGACCACTCTTAGAGAGTGGGAGAAGGGTTTCTTCTGCAGGGGAGACAACTAGGAACATATGCATATCCTGGGTCTGCAAGGGCAGGTCATTCTTTTATGTCGGCCACTAAATTCTTGGCACTATGCCAAGAAAGTGGCTTCTCAAGTAGGAAACGAAACTGAATAGGGACTTTCCATGCCCTAAGAAGTTTAACTTTAAGACTAACATTTAGTTTTAATACATTTTAACCCACCAGCTGCTCCTCAGAAACCCTATACAGTGTCACTGTGAGTCAGAACCAATTCAAAGGCACAACAACAACAACAAAAACATCCTAGGCTTGGGAAGGGGGGCGGTAAACAAAAGGGGCTATTAGAATAGCCAAAGGGTAGAGAAAGAAACCTTAACCCCACCCCACACACATTGTATATGAATCTCTCCGGCAGTGCTGGGAATGTGCCGGTTTATGCTGCTCTCCAGGTGATCCATGCCCCTAGTTCAAGGACTAGTCCTTTGGACAATGGCATTCTAAAGAAGGAAGAGGTGTTCCTAAGGGCCAGATTCAGAGTGATATTGAAAGCTGGGATCATCTCAGGAAAACCACTTCTGGAAAAATAAAACCTAAGTGGGAAATGACTCATGCACTCCTTGGTGAAATTATTCCTTGGGGCAAAAATTGTACCTTGTTTTCATAAGGACATCTGACCCAAGCAGCTCTCCTGTGCCTACTTTCCCTCACATCCTTCAAATGCAGCTCTGTGCCCTCCCCTCTCTCTGTTCCATGTGTCCCTCTTTGGATTCCTGCCTGTGGCATTCCAATCTCTGTCAAGACCTCTCCTCTGTCCCTAGTTTCTCCTAATTCAACCACAGTGGGGCAGATGCCTGTTCAGCGCCTATCAGTGAAAACAGAGTTTTGAGAGCAGCAGGTCACGTGCCCC